AAATTCTGCTTTCATTGCTTCTTTCTGTTCATTGAACACTGGATCGAATAAAGCAACTTTAAAGAATTTCTTAGCTGGAATTTCGGGTCTAATATTTGCATATTGACCATCAAACTGATTAACATATCGTGGTAATCCATCCGGTCCCTCTTCAATAGCATTTAATTCTTCATTGAAATAAGAATATGGATTATGACGGTATGAATTAATTGGACCATTTTCACCTTCTCCAATGTATTGTTTAACAGCTTTTCCATTTTCATCAAATTGCATAGGATAACGTTCATTATATGCTTTACGTTTAGGATAATCACTTATAGTTAATTTATACCCATTTATGACTTTAATATTACCTTGACCATCAGTAACGAAAACTTCATTTATACCATCAGGTTTTCCATTTGGACCCGTAATGTCTGCTTCGTGTGCTTCCCAATTTGGACCATGACGTTTGGCATATGCTTGAGCTTCTGGTAATGTTAAAACGTTTCTCATTTGTTTAACATCTTTTTGAAGACCAGCAACAATATGAACTAATTCTTTCATTCCATCAGGAACTTTCATAGTTCTATTATATGCACCCTTTTTGTTTGTCCCTTGTTTTAATGGAACCTGTAGAAGATTTGCAATTTCTGTCATGTTTAATTATAAATAAAAAATAAAAATTAATTATAAAAAGTTAATCAAATTTAACACCTCCTTTATTTAAATCAACTATTATTTTTCCATGTTCTCCTAATTGTTGATATTGTGTGTAAAGTTCATTAATGCTCATTGGTAAATTCACTTGATAAAGCATAACGTTCAACTGTTGACGACTAAAACCACTGAAAATGAAAAGGGTGGACAGGTTTGATTTAATGTTTGTGCTTAATGCTTTGAAATATTGAACAGCCATAAAGAATGAACATTGAATATGTCGACATTGAGTTAATAATTGATTAAAATATGATTTCTCATTTGTTATTAGTTTTGATTTCACTGCATCATCTAGAAAAATTAGTGAATGCAAAAATTCTTTATCAAAATTTGAAATGGAAAGTGTTTCAAATAATTCATCCCGTTGTTTATCAATAATTTTATCCTCTAATCCTTGCTTCTTGATTGTATTATATAATTCTTTATACATTAAAAAGTTTTTTAAATAATCTTCTGCTTCTTCTTGTGATAAATAAATAATTGGAATTTTGATTAAATGCTTTAAAGATTCAAATGTATCATCTGAAGGTGAACCTGAACGGTTGATATAAATTAACACATGTGAATGGGGGGAAGTGTTAGCAATAATGATAATTTGTTTTAATATCGTTAATGTTTTACCTTTATTTTGTTTACCAATTGCTGCAGTGATTGAATTTAAGTAACATTCAGAATATGGAATTTTCATTAATTTTTCCTTAGATAAAGCATTTCTATTATCACTCAATGCTTCATTAATCATATCATCTACGTATGTATTATATACTCCCGCTAATTCTTCATCGGGGGTGGATGAATTTAAATCCATTTAATCAAAAATAAATTTATAATTTTAAACATTTCTATTCATCAATATTTCATCATATGAACTTCTATACTGTGGTGGTGTACCTGTTGGATGATATTTCAAACCTTCATCCGGTGTCCATGTCCAATATGTAGTCCTAGTAAACCAAACCTGAGGAGGATTTGTCACCTTTGAACAGTAAGTGTCATTTACACCCTGAATGATTGGATAAGCTTTCACTTGTACTGTAACTTGTGAGTTGAAAGTTTCTAATCCATCAAAGAATATACCCGCTCCATTACGTTGAACTGGAATAGTGCATAAGAATGAAGTTTGGTCTTTCCATGTTCTAGCTGATGGCGTGCCATCATCTGCATTTAATGGTCTAGTTAATGAGTCCTCGTATTCTTCCGTGCATTCATTCACTCCATCTAAATCAGAAGCTTGAAGCATACGTGTAAAGAATATGTCACCCACTGTGGTCATCGCTTGATCGGGGAAGTTTCTGGAATCTATAGTGACCTGAAGACCTCGAAGCATTGGATTTTCTAAAACTGTTCTTTGCATTGCATTTTTCGGAAATGTTAACACAACATCTGTAACATTATGAAGAGCGTATGAGAAATCTGAGCTAATACCTTCAGGAGTGATGCAACCCCCATTTAGTGAACGAACGTCAATATGTTGAGCTGGAATCATGAATGGATCTTCCTTACTAAATAAACGTGGTATTGCTTTAACTGATTCTTCAATTAAACCGTATCCTGTGTAATGCATTTATCCTCTAAAACTTCCATCTTTGTGCATGAAATAATAACGTCATCAACTGTTGCGTCAGCAGATGTAGCGGCTAAGCTTGTAATTAATTTGGTAGGAAGTCCGATTTGTTGGAATTTGCGATCATATTTATAAACATGATTCATAATCTTTTCATAATTTTCATCAGTTATCTTTTCATAAACGTAATTTTGTAAATCAGCAACTCTTAACGGGTCAACCTGACAAAATACTAAAGTATCCCTGAAAACATAATATTTAAGAATGATATCACCAAATGATTTAGGATAATCATCGAACGCCTGAAATGCTAACAAATCATTTACCGGAATAATCATATCAAAAGTGACATCAACTTCTTCATTTGCTTTCTTGAAAACTTCTGAAGGATCAATATATTTACCACATACTGAGTTATCATATTTTTGAACATTATTTATAACGAATGAACAAACTTTTTAACTTTCCTTTCTGATTTCGGTTTATATGTTGCAAATGCGAAAGATTCACGGGCGCAATCCATCTGAAGATAACCAGCATCACCTCTTTCGGTTTCTACTTCTAATTGTTTAAAGCTTTGATTTGATGATTTGTAACCAACGAATAAACGCATGCATTTAAAAGCGGCATCACATGTGAAAGCTTTATTTGAAACTAGAGTTGCTTTAACTTTGCGTTTAATATATGTCACCTTTGGTTCATCATGAGCTGGATTTGTAATTCTTAAATGAGTTTGTTTATCATCAAAATATGGAGTATCAGAGTCATAGCATGAACTTTCAAGTTCTCTATAATATCTTCTACGTCATTCTTTGCAAATATTTCATTTATCTTTTCGAATGAATGAAACACATTTCCATTAATCGGTTTGGTGTTTGGCACCAAATAGTTAGTCGTCATTTATTATTTAAATCAAAATTAAAATATGAAAATGAATTTTTAATTTTAATGAAATAATCAACTACGGCTGCAGGTATATTTAAGAAACTGTGGGATAAAGTAAAAAGAGGAGCGAGTAAAGTTTGGGAAACAATGAAGAAAGGAGCAAATTGGATATTTAAGAATAAAGAAGCAATTAGTGACGTAGCTGAATCAATAACACCAAAAGCTGCCCCAATAAGAGAAATATTAAATAAAGGAGAAAAAGTTTATCAAAGACTACAACCGATACTAAGATAAAAATAATATTTATTTATTTTTCCACTATTTACCTCCTATTTTATTAAGTATTCCTTCAGCAATTCCACCAACTGCGTTACCTGCTTGTGCTCCATCGCCGGATTACCTGCTTTAGCACCTAATACTCCACCTATGATAGTTCCTGCCGTTTTCGCTACTGGTGCCAAAAAGTTTGCAATGGGTTTAATAATCTTTTGATGAACCCAACCCGCAGCTTTCTTAATTCCATCCCATAATTTTTTAAAGAATCCTGCCGCCATTTCTGATTATTTCATTAAAATTAAAAATATATTTCATCACTTATATTCTAATTTTTATTTAATGATAAATGAACCAATTTTAAAAATAAATGAAACAGAGGAGGAAGAAATAAATGAAAGTGAAAATGTTCAACAAAAAATAAACGTTGTTAAACAATTACTGAAATAAAAATTTTTTCATCTGTTGAAGAATTTAATGACTATTATGCTAACAATAAAAAATTATTTGAAGAATTGACAACATGTAAATTGAATAAAATTAAATGTTTAAAGTTGATGGATTCAAAATTTCAAAAATAAAAGGAGTGGTTAGTTTGAAATCTATTCCTCAATCAAGAATCACCTCATTAATGAAAATAGATGATTTAACAAAAGAATAGAAGAGATTGAAGAAAGAATGAATCAAATAATTGATTTCATAAATTCAAATAATCATTAGTTTCAATTTTTTTTCTCGTTTATGAGGTCTTTGATTATGACTCCATTGATTTCATTCATGATTTAAACAATTTTTTTAATTCCACTATGTTTGGGCTGAGTGTAAATGTCTTACAATTTTGAAAATTTTTTAAATCTTGATTTATTCAAAAACGTAAGAATAAAAACCGTAAGAATCATACATTTTTTACTTCATATGTTAAAATAAATGATACAAAATCGTTCTATATTGTATGAATTCTTACGTTTACAAAAAAAGTCACACAACCCGTCCACATATACTACTTTTGCGACTGAAAGGAATTTGTTATTGTAATCCCAAAATAATTCTTTAGTATGTATTGACCAACAGATGGAACTCCTTTAATTTTATCAGGACAAAGCTTTTCTAAAATCTTTTGCATTAAGATCAAATAAGACTTAATAAACCGATTATTCCCTTTTGCCGCCATTGAAACTGTCTCAAAGATGTATGATAATTCATATTTATCTGTATATTTATATAATTTATTAATGAAATCTTCGTAAAAAGTGTTGATTTCGTCCTCTTTTGATACATGTAGCGTGTACAATCTATTCATAATATCATTATAATCTTTGAAAAAATTCATGAGTAAATCATAAGGGAATGCACTCATGAAAATAATAAAAATTTATTGTCGTCAGGAAAAATGACAAAATTTTCATTATCCTCTAAAGATTATGGTACAAATTTGCTCCGTTAGAGTATATTTTTAAAAATATTAAGTAAAAGATATAAAACAAATAATCTTTAAATAATAAACAAATAAGTATATAGTATCTATACATCATATAACAAACACTCTTCAATTGAAAAGTAAAAACAAGGAAAATGTAAATTAAATGACGAAAGGATTTCTGAAGTTTTCTTCCTCATCAATGAGAGAAACATCGACAGCATCTGCATCTTGTTGTTCTTCAAGAGATATCTTTTCTGGGTTAATACACATAGCGTAACCTGACATATCTATGAATATGCCAAAAATAAAGCATACGAACATAGCTGTAGATGTAATACGTTTGATTCTGTTGTATAAAGAAGTCAATTCTTTCATACATGGTTTTGTTGAAGATCCTGGGCATGGAAGAGCGGGAGAATCTGTAGAATTTGACAATCCGCAACAACTGAGATCTGACTGAAGCTCGTATTTTGTTGGATCATCAAAAGAATACCAGTTATTTGAAACTGTCTTAACAAAACCACTGTAACTTGATGTAGATACGACCAAAAATACTTCGATGATGAGTAAAACTGCCATGCAGCAATGAAAAACGATCCAACCAAGGCCAGTATTGTTTACAGCAGCAACCCAGCCTACAACAATGATAATAAATCCTAAAATAATAACTGAGATAAAGAGAGAAATCATATCTACTGGTAAAAAGGAGCTAATATTAGTTTTTCCAAAATAATGAACTGCAACTGCGCAAAGAATCATAACTGCAATTGACTGGATGCCGTTAATAATAGCAAATCCGATACCAAATACTTTAAGCTCTTTATTCTTTGGTATCTTTGAACAACACGGCATTCAATCCAATTTTTGAATCAAATTGAAAAAAAAATTTATCTTACTCCAATCGTTAGTTTTATGAAAACAGTGTGGCATTGTATTGTAAACATTTTGAAATAAAGAGGCAAGAAAAGTCCTTTTTGCTAATACATTTTGGAGAAATCATTAATAGAATCTGTTTCCGGCTAACTTAATTCTTTGATTGTGCATGTGATTGTTGAATTTTGCTTATTTCTGCTTAATGATTAGATTTTGAACTTGAAAAATAAAAGGTAACTAAACTCCTTTCGCCGATCCGATTTGCTCCATATTTAAAATATAGCTTGCATATGTAGAAGAAAAGCTAATTTTGAAGTACGCCCGAAATCCACCAACAGGATTTCGAGCTACTAAAAAGGTACTTTTAAATGTGATTTTTTTTATAAAAAATTAAATTTATTTTAAGATCAGACTAAAAACTAATTTTATGGAAAATCTATATCGACAAATTTATTACTTATTGGGTATATAGATTTTTTGATTATGGCGATTATGTCTGATATGCTTCCAATAAGCCAAAACACATTTCATACTGATTTCTATAAAAGGTATCTTTATTATAGAAGTGTAAGCTATATCTGTTTGTTTTTTTATTATAACAAATTCAAAATTCTCTTATAAGGACTAGATGAAATCTGTATTATTAAATCATTAGCTAAATGAAGGTTCAAATAGAAAGTAAATATCAATTTATATGATACTGAAACCAAATAGTTCTTTTAATAAAAGATAACACGCTGAAAATTATTGAGTATTTGCAAATCTCAAAAATCTATTGGTGAATTTGGCTCAACTTTTAAAATTATAACATCCATATCAAATCATAAAAGCAGACAAAAATTAAAGCCAAACCTATCGGCCAATTTTTTTTTGATATTTTGATTTTTGAGGTATACTTTTAAAAGTGGATTTAAAGCACTTATGAAAAAACATTAACTTCTGTCGTTATGATTATTGATTTAGACAATAATGATTTTAATCTTTGATTATCAAAACACTAAAGTCATCTTTTTAACATTTGCTTGGTAGCATTAACTCAAGTCTAAAGTACTATTTTATGTGGCACTCTTAGAATTTTTGTATTCATTGTACACGCTGAAATAGTACCATTAAAGTTATGGCGGACTTTCAAAAAATAGTTTGGTCACCTTTGAAAAATATCTAATTTTGAGTCACGAATTTATAGCGAGTGCATAAAAGCTTGAGTAAACTATTTTATTAGATTCTATTTATATAAGGACCACAATAATACTTCATGTGTAAATTTTTCGAATCTTTGAAATCTAATGATAAAAACTTGTCAACTCATTGCAAAGCAAAGATTTTGTGACTAAGATAATGCAATGAGCTGACATATGATCTTAAAAATAGTTCGAATTGTCCTTTATGTGTAATTTATGAATAAATAAACAGTTATACTTTTTTTAATTATTATTTTCCTACCATTTTATTGGTAATGCGTATATTAAAAATGTTTACATGGCGATTAATTTTTTACGCCGAATTTTATTTGAATCGACTCAATATCAATATTTTAATGCAATATTTTTTAACTATTTTTCTTATTGATTATTATTTTTGAAGATTCATGTTCGCTCTGAAAAAATTTTGAATAAACAAAATTCAATAAAAAATATTAAATTTAATTTACAACATCACCTCAATTATATGTTCCCTGCTCTCTCTGTTACTCCTTTCTCTTTAATCACTGAACCATCCAAATTCACTAACCAAGATCCAACGATCTTGTTTAACAAACTTGGATACTACTACGCAATCGGACTTATGCAGCAATTAGACGAGTTAGAAAATATTTCGAACATTATATGGTCAGATATCAATAAAGATTTTACAGATGTTCAACAAAGAATTCAAAATCTTCACACAAAGGTGCAAGCAGTTAAACAAAAAGTTCCTTTATGTGTAGAGAAGCTTAGCAAAGCTCCAGCACACTCATTTAACAAAAACCTCTGCCAACAAATGTATCCTCCATTAGCGAAGCCCGAAGATAATGTTTCAATGGAGATCAAAAGTAATCTTGTCAAAGTTCTTTACTCTATTTCGAAACCGGCACCAACACTTGCAGCTTGGAAGCCTCTCATACCAGATTATCAAAATCTTGATAAATATATTACAAATCCTTCCGCATTCATGGATATGTTCAGAGAAGAAATGCTTAGAGATTGTCAAAACTTAGTAAATAGGAGACATAAAGGTGGATATAGACACAGGAAAGAACAAGATGATATCGATCAGAAGTCTGAACAAGGAAAGAATGTGATGATTGTCAAAATCTTGCCTCTGCCAACAATTGTTCAACAGCCACCACCAATTGGAAAGATTCAGGGCTGGAATAACAGGCTTTCCTTCAAAACTTCGATAAGTTCAAGTGATGATGCTGCATTATTTGCTTCTTCAGCCATCAAACCTGCAACACTTTCTACACCAGAACAAAGGAAGAGAGCTCCAAGACCTCCTCCAAAGCCAATCCAACTTCCAGATCCAGTTCCAACTCCAGTTGCTCAACCAGAGGCTGCTCCAGAACCAGAAAAGAAAGAGAAAAAACTCAGATGGGGAAAGTCAAAAGAAAAGAAGGCTCCACCTCCAAAAGCAGCTCCAGCCCCTGCTGCTCGTGCACCACAAGCCCCTGCTGCTCGTGCACCACAAGCTCCTTCTGCTCCTGCTGCACCACCTCCACCACCTGCACCTGCAGCTCCACCGCCACCACCTGCACCTGCAGCTCCACCGCCACCACCGCCTCCTTCGGTCCCTGCACCACCTCCACCATCTATTCCAAAGCCGCCTGCTACAGTGACTATTTCTCAAAGTGGAGGTGCCTCAAATCACTTGGATCTCATCAAACAAGGAAACTTCAAGCTAAGGAAGTTCTCTGTGTGCAAACCAAAGGACGAGCCAAAGAAAGATGTGGATCCAAATTCATTATCTGTCGGAGAGCTTCTTCAATACATGGCTTCTATAAGAGCTGATGTTGCTGCTTCTGATGATGATCAATCAGCTGATTCAGATGACGATTCATCCGAAGATTGGTAATCAAATTTCCAAATTTTCTCTTATTTTATTTAATGATGCGTTTAAAAAAAGAAAATTAATATCAAAACAATCGATATTTTTGAAGTTGAATTGAAGATCTCAAAATATGTTTTGCAAACCGAAATAAATTCAGTATGAAATATCTTTGAATAGTGTTAAAAATACAAATATTGTCGAGATTTTCATTAAAATTGCAATATTCCAAAATTAAATTGGTAAATTATACAAAAAAGTTGATTATTTTTGAATAGTAATTACACAAAAACCTTTATTTCTTAGCCTGAACATATAGCGCCGTTGATGAAGCGACTGCAACAACATTTTCTAGTGGATGAGCTTCAACAACTCCGATTCTCCTGGAGAAGTCGATATTATCAACTTTTTGCGCTCCAGCAATGAAGTCATACGACTTATTATTCTTCCAATCCCAAACGCAGTACTCATTTCCGTATTTTCCTGAGATAATTTCATCAGTCGGGAGCACAGACGATATGAAATAGTCTCTGCAGTATCCCTTGTGGACAACCAAGTTCATTCTACCTGGAAAAGACTGAACTTCTATAGCGGCTTCTGCTTGACTTGGGTTTCTGAGGTCCCAGACCATGCAGTGACCGAATATTCTGGATAAGAAGTGTACTCCATCGTTCAAAAATCTGATAGAGGACACGTATTGGCATCCATTTGTAAATGTTGATTTATCTACTGCAGATTGTACGTTCATAGTAGCTGCTGCGGATAAATTCGAAGACTGTTGACGCATATCAAGCATTTTAATATATCCCTGATCGTCTGAAATGAGAATTGCATATGGTATTTGATTTGTAACGGCAGAAGCTGTTAATTCTACACGAGAAGAGTTAGTTCTGTATGTAAATACAGGAGGAACATCTCTATTCATATCCCAAAGTCTTACACAACCAACATCTACCATCAAGAAAGATGTTTGGTCATATAAGGCTTCTATTGATACTAGGAACTCTGTTTCAACATCGAAGAACTTTTTGAGCTGGACTGCTTCGTATTTTACCTCGTAAGATTTAAGTTTTGGAAAGAGAAAAGTATTATTTGGCTGATTTTGATCGAAATTATCCCAAGTAGGTCGAGGAGTTTGAGTTAATTTCCATAATTTCGTCTCGTGCATGTTTGTTGTAAGAAATAGAGGATTTAAGTCTGTTTTTGGAATCCATCTGATGGCACAAACTCTTGGCTCGCTCAAAACTGATCGGAGATAGTCAAATTCTGATTTGTGGGCATGCATTTGTGTAACAAATTCTATCTGGTTTTTATTTGTGTATCTAAATATAACAGCACGACCAGAAACATCGCCTGTTGCAAGAAAATTGCCTGTTTGATTAAATTGTAATGCAGAAATAAAGTCATCGTCATTCAAAGGTGCATCTAAACCTCTTTCGCCAAATACTTTTGTTGTTTCAAACTCCATTTCTGTCACTTTTTTGACCAAAATCATTAAAAGTAATTCATTAAATGATTAGTATAAATAATATGCAGATCATTTGTTTTGAAAAGATATGGGATCAATAGGAAACTCTCATCACATATAAACAAAATTTCTTATTTTGGTACAATGAATTTGAATAAAGACTATACTAAGATTTTTAATGTATCATACAAGATTCAACTACTCAATGCCAATGATATTAATATAATTAATTAATAATTCCTTACAACTAATGACATAAATCAAGGTATTTTATTCTCACAGTATTCCAACAATTTGTATGCAAATATTTAAAAGTACCAAGCTCTCTACGAAGCCATAGCTGTATGTATATTTACTAATCAAGCTAATGTCTAATAAAATGGTATTGAAGCTTTTCAAATTGCAGGAAAGAATAATAGAACAGAAAACGTTTTTGAAAATGCTGTATGCGTATATTTAATAGACTGTTATGTTCATATTGCAATGGAAAACAATAATCATAAGATATTTGAATACATAATCATTCATGAAACTACTAAATAAATTAAGTGGATTCGACAAAAAAAAACTCGCTTATTTGGTATTAAAATAACTAAACTCAATGTTTATTCGATTTAAGAATAAAATGTTTTCTCTGTTTGTGCGTCTTCTTCATTAAGGGCCATTTCTGTGACATTTCTTGTTTGTTTCTTCTTTGGATTTGATTTCTTATATTCTTCGTAATATTTCGGATCTTTCAAAAATGTAGATTCAAATGCAAGTTCTGATCTTGCTTGAGCACTTGAGACTGTTAATAAAATGTAAGTTAATGAAATTGGGCCTGTAATTAAAATGAAGATAAAGATAATGATGCAATAAATAATGAACATCACATCTAATGGGGATTGCTTAACCATATTCCACCAACTTGAGCAGAAACATAGCCATGTATAATCACATGAGCATTCTGGACATTTGATTGGAACAGCATCATCACAATCACATCCACATCTGTAGCAGAATAAATCAAATATGTTTCCATATTTACCGCTCACGTTGCAACCTAATGCGCATCCCAATAATCCGCAATAGTTAGAACAGAAATGTCTATGATGATTTTCATAAAATTCTTGCAAATGTTCTGTTCTATTACAGCAGCAATCATAACAAACATTGCACAAAATACCTGATCTATAGAAGCGATTAGGACAAGCGAATAAGAAAACCAAAATAATAATAAATTCAACAATTGTAACAACGATCCAGAATATCAGGAATTTCTTTACTGTTGGATTAAATGGTACATTAGTGTCACCACCACTTTCATTACCACCTCCTGTTGTTGAATTATCTGGTTCTGGTGGTAATGGATCATAATCTGGCATTACATATTCTGTAACTGGTCATGTTTGCCCTGTTCCATAATTCTTGATATTCATATGATTTAATCTCAATGTGCTTTTTCCACCATATTTAAGAGTGTTAGTTGTTGCTGAGAGTCTGCAATACATAGTTGTAGCCTTATCTGGTGGCATATAACCGAAGTAGAAAACAGAATCAATCGCTCCAGTTTTATGTCTACCAAACTGTTTAGGGATCAAATTTTGATCAAAATTTAGAATTGCTTGACCTGGAAATGGAGTATTATCTTGTCCTCCTCCTATATTAGCTTCAAAGTAGTCATATTTGAGATTTGTTGATAATTGTGATATAAATACATATGAATCTTTTCTTTCATATTTAGTCGCGTCGTAAACAGTGTTACTAACATACATATCAAATTGTATCTCACTATCTGATTCCATAACAATTTGTTGGTAAGTAATGTTCATATATTGACCACCTTTGAGTAAAGGAACGACATCAAATTGAGAAACATTGTTTTTGGCATAGAAAATTACATATTTGTTAGCATCAGTCGATGATGCGAAAGGATATGACATGTTCTTATGATCATATACCATTACGGGGCCGTTTGACTCGATGTTAACAATGGTGACGAAGAAATTCTTGAAATTTGGATATGAAAAGTTTAATTGGATTGGTCGATAAAGAGGAATCTTATCTACAGAATATACAATATTCGACTTGGGCTGATATGAAAAAGTCTTCCATATTTCAATATCTATGGACTGTTGGCAGAGAAGGAAAGGAATCATGTGATGTGATTTTCTGATTAGCGAAATTCAGTAATTTGCCCATTGAAAATTTCAGAGAATTTCATCGTTTGTAAATACAATGATATTGGAAATGCAAATACTTTACATATTCTTCAAAAGCAAGGACTGGCATAATCTGACATATAACCATTCAAATATCAGGTAAGATTCAAAACTGATTTAGGATAAGAAACTTTATTGATTAGAATTTAAATATGATCGTTTTCTGACTCTATTATATTGGAAACCACTGAATCAATTAATTGTATAGGTTATTCAAAAATTGTGAACTCCGAAATTCGGGTTACATGAGACACCACATTGTTAATAAATTACTTATTTGTATCTAGGTGAGCCATATTTCTCCAAAAAATATCTAATCTCCTTACTTTATTTTAAAATTATTCGCCCAGATATATGTAACTACTCAACAATGATATACTGTTTCAACCCATTCAGATATAGCCTTACGGTAATGTTTATTTTTATTTTTACGAGTGAAAAAAAAAATAATATATTTTTTGCTTCAGTATAAAATATCAAGTAGTATAAAAGACACAAATGCAATTCAGCCTATCCAAATGTCACCATTACACATATTCTTGAAAAATTGAATCTTATGATTTTCATATCTAGTCTCTTCTTACTTGACAATACAATATATGCTATTCATATGAATAATTTCCAACAATAATTATACTAATATTCTCTTCTGGAAAATGTTCAGATTAAATATCTCCTCAGAATGGTTAAATAAGGGAAGTGACATGCCACTTGAAAAAAGCGCTATAATTTGCATAAAATATATAAAGATCATGATTTGGCTTTGAACAAATAAAGAAAAAAGACTGTCACTTTTATCATTTCATTTTGCAATGAGAAAAAGCCATTATACAGATCTAATGGAAAGAAATAAAGACTATGTTAATGCCTATGACGCATTGTACAAGCTATCCTCATCTAATGAAGACCAAATAGATAAAATTTATCAAGATATCAAAATTAATTTGATCGAAACCAATGTTTTTCCGCCATCTCAGATGTTAGCGAATATCATTGATATATCTAAATTTAATAACCGCTACTTCAAATCATATTGGTTAATATTCAAAAAGATATTTGAAGAATATCATCTCACAGAAATTAAGAGTAACTCAACCATTTTTAATTACTTCGTATATAAAGAATATGGAATAGTATTAGATGATGAAAATAAAAGCGATTCCGAATTTGGTCGATATGAAGATGAAAATTATTCATTGGAAGTTCATGAAGAAAACACGGTTTACAGAGCAATAATGAATGATGACAAACAATCATTAATAATATACGCAGAAAGACCTGGGTTTGATAAAGATCAAAGTCTGAAAAGTGAATTTTATCCATTTAATGCTCCAAATTCATTACTTGAATTATGTTGTTATCATGGTGCTGTTAATTGTTTTAAATTATTGAGATCAAAATTCAACTCAGAGATAACCAAGAAATGCCTTTGGAATTCATTCTTGGGTGGAAACCAAGAGATAATGAGCGAATGTTTGAAAATTCAATCACCAGATTATGAATGCATGAGATATGCAATTATTTCGCATAATGTTGACTTTATTACTTTCCTAATGAATGAATACGAAATTGCAATTGATTTATATCATTGTGGATATTATAACAACCTTCAAGCCTTTTTAATTTATTTAGATCAAACTCTTGATATGCACAAATGTCTTGTTTATTCTCCTCTATTTAATATTCCTTCTCTTGTTGAATATTTGATTGCACATGATGCTGAAATTAATACAAAAGATAAATACGGATTTGCTGCTCTTCATTATGCCACCATTAAAAATAGTAAAGAAATAATAAATATTTTAATAGATCATCATGCAAATATTAATGCAAAAGATATAAATGGAGGAACTGCTCTTCACATCGCAACAAGAAATAATAATAAAGATATTGCAGAACTTCTTATTTCTAATGGAATTGATATCAATGCAAAAACTAATAATGGAAAAACTGCTCTTAAAATTGCAATTGAAAATAATTACAAAGAAATCGAAGATCTGCTTATTTCTCATAGTACCAAAGTGACAAAAAGAAGTTGAATATTTTTAAATAACTCTTTTTTATGATGTATTTAATAACCCATTCATATAACTTCTTACATTTGGTATAGAACTTAAGGGTGCACCCGTATGTACGTTTATTTGAGAGGAGGAGGATTACCCTCTCAATTTTGAGGGATTCGTTAGTTTATTTTCTCGATGAATATGCAATAAAATTTGATTTTTACCTTATCAATATACTTCATATAATATACACATGTTCATGTAAAAACTTTTTTCCAAAATCCTCAGGAATTAAGGGATTTTTGAATTTTAAGAATTTTTTTCGAATTTTTTCAAAGGTAGTCTCACGAGAAAACTGACGGTAAAAATTCGATGAAACCAGGTGCATTGTATAGTACATATATGTGGTAAATAAATGTCGATTAGCTTTGTAAAAAATATCCCACAGTTTTTGAGATCTTGAAAACGGCCATTCAAAAAGTCGAAAATTTTCGCGAGATGTTAATGGGCAAGACAGTTTTTCGACAAATAAATCATAAACATGGGAATTAAAATAAGGCGTTATATTACATATATGGTAAAGAATATGGATGTGAAGAGCGTTAGTAGAATGGAAAGACTTTGAAATTTTAAAAAATTTATCTGGACTAAAAAATTATTTGATTATAAAAAACATATTATATATCAATTGCTATATAGAACTATCATAACAGATTTTGGAAAAGCCGCAAATCCCCAAGTTGGAGAATTCATTAAATACTAATTATTCAGCTTTTTATCAGAAAGGAAGGTAGTGTAGTGGTTGGGAACGCTATGCTCTTTTTGAATCTAAAAGGCAACTGTTCAAATCATAACATCTTTGTTTTTTTTCTTATTCTGCCATTATTGTTTTTCCTTGTTATGATTCAAATTAAAAATATTTTAGTAAAGGTATTTTGGACATCATTTTTTCACATTGTCTCAATGCAAATGTTTGAAAATTTTGTAGGCAATATGACAACTCTTTCAACATTTGTTCTCTTTTATTAACTCAAACAGATTTAGGATCTAATTTCATGCCTTCGAAGACATTTAAACCATCTTCAACATAATTTATTGACAAATTGATAACAATTACTCATGAATGTCGTAGATTTAATATCCTGTCACTCAGCAACAAATTCGGGTTCAATAACAAAGCTCAGTAAAAACTTTCCAGAAATTCTCCAATTTATTTTAGTGTCTTTTTGCGTCATTACGGCTGCATTTTCTTCTGCATCTGAACGCTGTGTTTGGAAGAAGACGAAATACAGAAACTTTCAACACAAGTAATCAGATTTTCTTGTCTTTCATGTTAAAATGCTTCATCTCGCTAGGTATACGTCATTTATTGGATGGATTGTTAGCTTTGTGTCCAAATAGCAAAAAAAAGTATTAATTTAAATTTCGCATTTTGCATAAGTATACGCTTTAATTTATATCAAAACAGATTTAGATAGCTTAAAACAATATAGTTTACTCATAAATACATCTTGATAATTCACTTCTTCAATTTTCATAATCTTATATCCTGACCTATATCCTCTTATAAACCATATTTCTACTGAGATCTTCTTAAAGCATCTTTTTATCCCTATCTACGCCTCGAAACCCTATTTTTCCGGCGGAATATGAATCTTCGGGTCTCGCTGATTCGATTTCTGCAGTCAGATCGTAAAAATACCCACTACATAGCCTGATAATCTCAATTTAAGTTCCTTAATTTTTTTGAAAAAAAAATTAAAACTCCCTTATCAAACATCATGCTCATTTTTACGAATTTCATTTTTCCTTTAAGTTTAAAATATACGCTTTTTAGCATGTTTATAATACATTTTCAATTTACATTTACATTTTTATTTTTGAATTGTTTATTTATATTTCCGTTTGAACAATAATATTTATTGAAAATTGTGAGAGAAACGGATATAATAAAAAACACCATACAACAAAATTCACTTTTTTTCATACTTACGCGGATCACTCCTTTTCGGCCCAATATGCCGGAAATGATAAAACTCTCAGATCTAGTTGCTAAGATCCAAACTCTCGACTCTCAAATCTATTTCCTCAGATCTTGTTGCTAAGATCTACTTCCTCAGATCTTGTTGCTAAGATCTACTTCCTCAGATCTTGTTGCTAAGATCCAAACTCTCGACTCTCAAATCTACTTCCTCAGATCTTGTTGCTAAGATCTACTTCCTCAGATCTTGTTGCTAAGATCTAAACTCTCGACTCTCAAATCTACTTCCTCAGATCTTGTTGCTAAGATCCAAACTCTCGACTCTCAAATCTACTTCCTCAGATCTTGTTGCTAAGATCTAAACTCTCGACTCTCAAATCTACTTCCTCAGATCTTGTTGCTAAGATCTAAACTCTCGACTCTCAAATCTACTTCCTCAGATCTTGTTGCTAAGATCCAAACTCTCGACTCTCAAATCTATTTCCTCAGATCTTGTTGCTAAGATCTAAACTCTCGACTCTCAAATCTACTTCCTCAGATCTTGTTGCTAAGATCTACTTCCTCAGATATTGTTGCTAAGATCCAAACTCTCGACTCTCAAATCTACTTCCTCAGATCTTGTTGCTAAGATCTATTTCCTCAGATCTTGTTGCTAAGATCCAAACTCTCGACTCTCAAATCTACTTCCTCAGATCTTGTTGCTAAGATCCAAACTCTCGACTCTCAAATCTACTTCCTCAGATCTTGTTGCTAAGATCGATCTATTATACTCAATTTTACTTAAGCAATATAGATCACCTTTATTATGATTCTCTTTATCTGTACTTGTTTAAAATTAAATTACATCATAAAGATCTAATTACAAATTATTTAGAATTTTGAAATAAAACCAGTATTTTATCAAATGCTTTGAGATTAATGCATTCAAACTTAAAAAAAAGATATATTCAGATCAATTTCAATATTATTGATTTTTTAATGTAAAAACTATGTCTACATAGATCTCAAACAATTTTATTAGATACTCTTTTTCCCAATTTTTTTCAAAATCTCTTTTTACATATCAAAAATTGTATTTTTCAATTTCATTTTTATTTTTTCCATATTTTTTTTGGAATTTGGATATGCGTCCAAAGTAGTTATGTCATTAGAAAAATATTAGATATCTGAAGAGAAAATGATAACTTAGAGAGTTTTAAAGATTTTATTTTCGAATACAAATATAGACCTCAGAGGAATACATTCTAAATAAATTTGTATCTGAGGGTGAATAAATAAGAACAAAATTTAAAGGGTTAGCATAAATAATGTAGAAATTAAGATTGGAATTTAAATTTAATACAAAATTAAAGGGAATGAATTTGCGATTAGTAGGGTATGGCAAATGGATTGGGAAACATTGGTTACACATGAAAATTATCAGATGTAAGAATTTGGTGCAGATATTTTAAAAATGAGATCTGAGTGCTTAAACAATATCTCAAAATTCAAATTTTCCAAATGAAAATTTGGAAAATTCCCAAAATGCAGAATCAACTGATGATTTTCAATCATTAATAACGCCAATACAAGAAGATCATTTTCCTTCTGCCAACGAACTAAAACAATGGTTTGATATTGCCCATGATGTTTTAATTAGTCCGCCACCTGAGAATCAACATCCAGAAATTGATGAAGAAGAGACACAAAAAGCAATTTATCTATTACAAAACTTAGACTTTCCTAAGAAATAAAATTATTTAATTTATTCTTGTTTGTTTTTTAATTAAACATGTATATTTATTAACATTTCCTTTTTTAATACCTTTCCAACTTCTATTAGTAACAAACACATAACTAATTTGAAGATTTAGCGTTATGAAGAAGTATCCAAGTAATAACGTCAATAATGCATTTGCGATAGGATATAATTGCACCAAAGGTTAAAACTTGTATAAAGAATGAAAAATGAAATTTAATACAATTTTTTTTCGAAAAAAATCCATGCTTGGCTAGATTTTCATAGTTATTGAATATGCATTACTGACATCTTGTAAAAGATGCCGATCAAGGCTTTCAAGATTGCTAAATTTCTCGATTAAAATTTACATTTTTTTTTTATTTGTGTTTAATTACATTTTACAGTTTGCAGACTTACATAAAATCCGCAACATAGTGGTTATTTAATATTTGCCCCACAGTATTGTAGTTTGAAATTTACGATAAGATTATAATTGATAAAGTAAGGTTTTGTCATTAATGCATCTTATAAACTTTCATTGATAAATATGGATAGATAAGTTCTGTGTTCAAAAGTAAGCATTTTTTAAAACGCGCAATTATATCAAGAACGACTATCATAAATTCATGAGTATCGATGATTTTCGTTTAGGATGGACTTAATCGGCTTGATTGATATACATATTTTAAAATGGCATAGCTTTGTGCATGTTATGTCAAGCATTGTGCCAAACCAATTTAAAATGAAACAAATTATTTTAAAGAAACTATATATGAACTATTCGAACACTTTATATTAATGTAGGGAGCTATAAATTTAAATATTCTAAAAATTTATTTATTTGTTAAGAGTTCGGAACAAATTTATTATTGAATATATAGGAAATCAAATAATTATGCATAATCGCATAAAAAAATGCTGAAACAATGAAAAGAAAAAAATAGTTGCCCAATAGAAAAAGTCGAACCCATACCCCTACCCATTGAGTTATCCTCACTTTCAAGTTTCGATCGAAAAAAAGTTATTTAATCGCGTAACTCGCACCGTTTAGTCGTATTTCGAAGTTCTATATAGTATTAAAGATTAAGTTACATTATGTAACAAAATAACTTTTTATTGTTATTTGATTTTGATAGCATTATTAGCTGAATATGAAAAATCTCGTAGAAATAATCATTTCATTCAGACATAAGTATTGGATTGTTTCCCAACAAGCATAATAACACACGTTTCATATTATAATTTATTTCATTTCTGTACAAAATTTAGATAACGATATCAAATAAAAAAAACTGTGGCATTTTTTTACTTCAAACTATCATGAAGTGTAACCAA